GAGGCACGAACCCGTGTCCCCTGCATTGGCAGGCGGACTCTCAACCACTGCGCCACCAGGGAAGCCCGAGATTGTTTTTTTTTTAACTTCACACAATGCTCTTGAGATACATCCACTGCGTATCTGGGCTAGCATTTGCTATTATCACTTGTTTTTCATTTTAGCTGTTCTAATAGGCGGGTAGTGATATTGTAACCGAAAGTGGGGTGCGGCTGCTCATCGCTCAAAAGCCAATAAAGAGGCCAAGTTGGTGGAAAGGAAAGTTTGCTTTATTTTGGATGCTGGCAACGGGGGTGGGGGAGGGCGGACACCTGTCCAAAGGCCGACTCCCCCCACTGACAATCAGGGGGCAAGAGCTTTTATAGGCGGAGGGAGGGGGCTACATGCAGAAACAGCACAGTCAGCTCTGACAGTCATCTTGAAATTAATTATGAAGGGGTCTGACCAGCGTCATCTTGATTGTTTTAAGTACAGTTAGTCTTCAGTTCCAGGGTTGGTTTGTTCCCATTTCCTTGAGGCCAGTTCTCGGAACTGTGGCAGCTTGTGTCATGGCTACAGTCTGGTCATCACGTAGTTCACTTCTTCCACCTGGTGTGGGTTTCAGTATCTATAAGACAGCTCCCAGGATACGGCTCAAAATATTATCTGTAGCCTGTGGGGAGGAACTAAAGGTCCTTGACTATGCTTAGTGACTAAACTATTATTATTTGGTCTCCTTTGACTGTTTTCCTTTATTTCTGCATGTCCTCATTTCTCTGATTAAACTTATTCTTTGGCTAAAGTTTTTCTACAGAGAAAAGGCAGGCTGAGGACATGGGGGGGCAAGGACCATGGGACCCTGCTCCATTTCTAAATCTCATTGTGGTCTTAATTTTCACTTCCTGAATGGCTATCACTATGCAATGTCTTTTTATGTGCTTATTTGCCATCCATATATCCTCTTTGGTGAAATGTTTCTTGTGTTTTTTCTCTACTTTCTAATTAGAGTGCTTGTTTTCACTGTTGAGGTTTTTTTTTTTTAATTTTATTTAATTTTTTTTTATGCAGCAGGTTCTTGTTAGTTATCTATTTTACACAAATTAGTGTATATATGTCAATCCCAATCTCCCAATTCATCCCACCACCACCACCCCCGCCGCTTTCCCCCCTTGGTGTCCATACATTTGTTCTCTACATCTGTCTCTATTTCTGCCCTGCAGACCGGTTCATCTGTACCATTTTTCTAGGTTCCACACATATACGTTAATATACGACATTTGTTTTTCTCTTTCTGACTTCCTTCACTCTGTATGACAGTCTCTAAATCGATCCATGTCTCTACAAATGACCCAATTTCATTCCTTTTTATGGCTGAGTAATATTCCATTGTATATATGTACCACATCTTCTTTATCCATTCAACTGTCAATGGGCATTTAGGTTGTTTCCGTGACCTGGCTATTGTAAATAGCACTGTTGAGTTTTGATATGAGTCCTTTATCAGATAAATTCCAGATATGAGTCTTTTGTCAGATATGTGGTTTGCTGTCTTTTCTTCTTCTTAACAGCGTCTTTCACAGAGTTAAAGATTTTTTTTTTTTTTTTTTTTTTTGGCCACACGGTGCAGCATGCAAGATCCCCGACCAGGGATCAAACTCGTGCCCCCTGCAGTGGAAGTGGGGAGTCTTAACCTCTGTACTGCCAGGTAAGCCTCAAAGATTTAATTTTGATGAAGTCTAATTTATTGATTTTCTCCTTTTATGGAGAAAGATTTTGGTGTCATCCCGAAGAACTCATCACCAAGCCCTAGGTCCCAAACATTTTTTTCTATGTTTTCTCCTTAAAGTTTTATAGTTTTACATTTACATTTGAACCTAGGGTGGATTGGGTGTTAGTTTTTATATAGGTGTGAGGTTTAGGTCAAGGTTGACTGGTTGGTTGGTTGGTTGATTGATTTACGTACCTACCTACCTACCTACCAACTCAATTGCTCCAGCACCGTTTAATGAAAAGACTTTTCTTCCCCCATTGAATTGCTTTTGCCCTTCAGTTCTTGTGTGGAGCTATATCTGGGCTCTATGTTCTGTCTCATCTGTTTCATAAATACAATCCATTTAAAAAAATTTTTTGAGATTAATTTACACACCATAAAATTCACCATTTAGAAGTGTACAATTCAGTGATTTTTAGTATAGTCACAAAGTGCTGCAACCATCATCACTACTAATTCCAGAATATTTTCATCACTTCCCTAAAGAAACCCCATACCTGTTAGTGTTCACTCCCTAAGAGCCCTGGCAACCTCTTCCCCCACCCCACCCCCAGCCCTGGCAACCGCTAATCTACTTCTGTCTCTATAGATTTTCCTATTCTGAACATTTCATATAAATGGGATCATACAATATGTGGCCTTTTGCGTCTGGCTTCTTTCACTTGGCATAATATTTTCAAGTTTCATTCCTGTTGTAGCATATATCGGTATTTTGTTCCTTTTTATGGCTGAATAATATTCCGTTGCATGGATATACCACATGTTGTTTATCCATTCATTAGTTGAAGGACATTTGGTTTGTTTCCACTTTTTTGGCTATTATGAATGATGGTGTACAAATTTTTATCAACATATATTTTTGTTTCTCTTAGGTATACATGTACAGATGAAACTGTTGGGTATATGGTAACTCTGTTTAACTTTTTGAGAAACTGTAGGACTGCTTTCCACAGCAGCTGCATCAATTTACATTCCCACCGTCAACGTATGAGGATTCTAATTTCTCCATATCCCTGCCAACCCTTGTCTGTCCTTTCGATGTTAGCCATCCTAGTAAATGGAAATTGGTATCTCATTGTGGTTTTGATTTGTATGTCCCTTATGACTAACGATGTTGAGCATCTTTTCATGTGCTTATTGGCCATTTGTACATCTTTGGAGAAATGTCTATTCAAATCCTTCGACTTTGTCTTTTCACTGTTGAGTTGTAAGAGGTAGTTATATATTCTAAGTACTGGAACCTTATTAGATATTAGAACTTCTAAGCAGACAGTTGTGTCAACTGCAGACAGGGGCAGTTTTATTTCCTTCTTTTTGATCTGTATGCCTTTTATTTCCTTTTCTTGACTTCTTGCACTAGCTAGAACTTCAAGTACTTTGTTGAATAAGAGTGGTGAGAGTAGATATCCTTGCTTTGTTCCCAATCTCAGGGAGAAAGCAATCTTTCACTGTTAAGGATGATGTTAGTTCTAGTTCTTTAGGTTTTTTTTTTTTTTTTTTTTTTTGCTCATAATTGAGAAAGTTCCCCACTATGCCTATTTTGGGGAGTTTTTATCATGA